TGAACCTCCAGTGAGTCATAACCTTGGGAAGCAAACAGAAGTCAGGTGTGTGTGGATTTTTTTCTAAATCTCATGAGCTCCTAGAATCTAATTCATGTACATGGCATTAATGACAATAATTAGTGCCATAATGGCAATAATAATAGCTGACACCAAGCATGCTGACACTAGTTTAGTCTGGAGATGAAAAAGACTAAGAAAATAGTTGGATGGTCTGTATGAATTGCACATAAGCACAGCTTCTTGGTCAAGCTGAGACCAAAAGCCAGACAGACATAGTCTGGCTGCTGATGCTGCGACATTTGTGCTTCCCTGTCAAGAAAGCAGTTGTAAGATCAAGCAAGTAGTCATAAGATGCAACATCACCTCTTCCATCTTGACTGTTTTTTGTTTTCTTCAAATTATTCCTTTTCACTAGTATTAGTATCTCCTCTTTCTTTAGAATGAGTTTCAGGCTTCTTTTAAGTTGCAGTCTACGGTAGGACTGAAGGTGATTTATGCCAAAACTCATCAGCCATAAGCAAAGTAGCACTGCAGAGGCTTCAGTTACAATATAGTACCAGGGTACTGCCCAGGTTCGTACAGCCAAAGCCAGATTCAATGCTCTTGTAACTTCAGCACTGTTGCCTAGGCCAGCTAGATCAATATTCATAAAGCAATATCTATACACATCACTGTCACACCTTTAATTGCAATGTAGATACAGTCACAGGTAGTGGTCATTAGTGCTCTGAACTCACACAGAGACCAAAATTGGCAATTTGCCTTCTGAAGTATTTGACACACTAAATTTTTGTAAGTACGCTAGGATTTATCAGAAACTATGGATCACAGTTGGAAGGACACTGCAAAGGAGTAAGTGACATGACAAAGCAGAGAAGCAGACCTGGAATTAAATTTGTCTTAGTGCAAACTGCCAGACTTCCAAGACATGCTGAAGACTGCTATTTCAAAATGAAGAGAAGGTAGACATTCTCTGTACCACATTTTGATTGCCTAATCCAATGCTGTCACGAACTCAAATTATACTGAAATTTGCAGGGAAGCAGTTAAGCCATGAGAAACTTGTCCGCCAAGATAAATTTTCCCTTTTGATGCACACAACAGTCTTGACCTTTTTTCTGAAAGCAATATATTACATTATAGCAATATGTAATTTTATTTTGCAGCGCAGGCATACATTTAAGGTAAACTGTAACAAATTCTACACATTCAGCCCCACTGAGAAATTGTTTTCAAAAAAATACTTTGGTGATCCAAGCATCCAGGAGAGAACCATGGCTAACAAAATGCTAAATCTTAAAAATGTCTTAGAATTTCTGGGATTTTAATCCTCTCCTCTGTTTCAGCTCTGATGCTTTCATAAGCAACAATCAAGATGCCACGCTGCAGATGGAGAGGGAAGAGGCTACAAAACAGCACAGCCACCTTCCTATCACCTGAGCCGGAGCAGGCACCCCATGCAGAATGGCACTGTTGGAAGAGCTACTGCCTCCTTCGCCTTTCATACATCCACATCTGGTATAATACAAATTTCCTTTATATATATCCAGGATGTTCCCAATGATTGTGGGTTCTTTATCTGCCAATAAGCAAATTCTATCTTCAGTTTCAATCTCAGGATAGAAGGCAAAGGCTGGGAGTTTGTGCTACAACTTCCATCTGAAAAACCTCTGTGTGGGCAGCATCACAAGAAATTTTTCAAGAGACATTGCAGCTCCGAAGACATTGATGGCTATGTTTGCACAATGTAGTGACAGTAGATATAAACACTGAGCATGTTTTAAATTTAATTTCAGAGCATATGAGCTGTGGGCATCCAGAGGATGGGACACAAATATCAGAGTGGGAGACCCAGAGTCAGTGCTGTTACCCCACCTTTGCAACAACTGTTGTTCTCAGTAGCCCTGCAATAAAATTGATAGGAATTCTTGCATCACAAAACCCCCAAGCGTAACACTAGTAGAGCTAATGCATTTCCCCACTCTGCTAACTGAGCTTAAACGATTAGACCAACATCACCCACCCCCGGTACAAGGCTAATAAACATTGCTATAATAACACTGTACTCCCCTTTACAAGCAAGATGACCATGCCACATCTGGAAAGATCAGTGGATAAAAACGGTCATTTTTGGTTGGTTAAAAAAAATTAACAAAGCATCTCATGACATAGCTATGAAACATGCTACCACACAAGTTCAAGATTAAAACCTTTTCTTCCTTTTTTTCTTTAATTTAAATAGGGGGGAAGGGGACATTTAGATTTAACTGCACACAAATATAGAATAAACAAAGCAACCCAAACTGCCTTCCAAAGTATGGAATCTTTCCCTTTCTTAAGTACAAATGCAAAATGCATGCTACCGGTTGCAGAAAGGGCTATTTTTTTAAACTAAAAACTGAGAGACAATATACATCATCCACTGAGACATCTGTGGCTGATGCAGGAAGCAAAATAAGGAAAGATGACACACAGAAACTAAGGAGTCTTTGCTGTGGGCTACTGTCAATGGAGAGCTCAACTTGACTGTCACAAAGGACAAGCTGTCAGCAATCTCATCACTTATGGTGGTCCAAGGGCTGCCTAGCACTGTTCAAACAATGGGTAGGACCAACATGAGAATGGAAGTGGAACCCAAAACGTGCTGGTTGATCCCATCCCATCCATGTTTCCTCCCAGTAACATTGTTATGCAGCCTCGCCAGAAGTCAGACTCACATTTCAAAGTGCCCTTAAGCACCCAATTCCTATTGATTTCAATGGGAATCAGGCTCCTAAATGCATTTGTTGGTCTCAGCTTCACTGCCTTTGGACTCCAGCAGCAGGGAGAAGCTTTTGTACTATACTGGTTCAGCCTCAATACCTTCTCAGGAGAAAGAGAGAAAAATACATGCATGTCTTTAGGCATGATTCATGTTCAGTTTGCAATGAGATAACCACATAGCCACCACAAAAAGATTACAGATGGCTTTTAACAGTAAGTGACAGCACTGGCTGGTTACTACGATAATATCTTTTTCAAAAACTCTGACAGCATAGTCCAATATTAAGGAAATCCCTATTCTTCTCTTCTTTCTTTCAGACATCTTTGAAAACTAGCTTTAAGGCCCTGCATTTGTGTTGTGCTTAACACCTATTTTATACATAAAAGGTATTCAGGTATAGTTACCTTGCTGTCAAGCAGTTTGATTGCATCAGTTTATAATAACACAATGGAATGTATTTAAGGGGATTCTCTTCAGAGTTATGTTCTGGTTGTGTTCAACTCTCCTTATGAGAAGAGATGATTGAAGAAAAAAGGAAAACAGCATATGGCAGCTATTACCAAAATAAACATATCCCACATCTTGTTCTGAAATCCTGCATGCCACTCAAGTTACTTTAAGAGTAAAAAGAGTTTAAAAAAAAAAAAAAAACAAAACAAAACATCAATTCTGTTTATGGCCTCATGAGATTTTTTTTTTATTTTATTTTTTTTTTGGCCTGGCAACAGGACATCCTCGCTGGCATTACAAAGATCTGATATTCATTAAGAAAAAGAAAAGATAAAAAGCATGAATGTCAAAGAAAATTGAGAATACTAGCACATGCTGAGTCTTGTTCTCTAGCATATCAGCAGAAATACATTCCAAAACCAGGTTTTATCCTAAGAAACCCTGATTTGCAGTAGAAACTCTTCTTGATATGGAAACAAAGAGGAATATGCAAAATGATAATCAGTACTTACATTACTTTTAATGCTTAAAGTCTTAAATGGTTTATGAACCATACCACCATAGACCACTTATTTTTGCATGCCACAGTGTCATCACAGATCTTCAGCAGTGACAGCTGACTGACAATTTATTTCCTTTTGTATAAAGGAGACATAGCTACTGGTTGGATTACCCTGCTCTCAAGAGCAAAGAAGGAGAAAAAAATATCTTTCTTTCTAGGACAAGGACTTGAAAAAGTAGCACTGAAAATGTCAGCTGGTCCATTCCTCTACTTAAGACAGGACTGTTAGGGTTTAAACTATATTTTGGCATTTTTGAGCCTTTATCTAGGATAGCCTGTATCTGATGACTAGAAGATACAAGTGAAACTAAACCGTCCTAATCCCAGACAAGGTTTCCACCCTGCAAACTAACTATGGAAAAAATATGAAGAGTGATACTGTAGGAGCTGCACTTGAGTTACATGGTTTGACCTGTGGGAGATTATTGTGAACTGTAGTGTTGCGCCTTGAAAGTGATGCTTTTAGTATGAAAATTCCTGAACACAGGAAGGCCTAGGTAGGTCTGCAGGCTTTGCTGCTGGCTTTCAAAAATTTGGTATACCGTAAGCACATCAGAACAGTTAACAACAATTGTCTGATAAAACAATACAGAAAAAATACCTGCTCTATTTTTTGCATCTATTAGAAACATACCAAAATACAGACATCATTAGACATACAAGTCAACATGTCCAGCTTGCAGGTAAGCAAATATTCCTTTCTCACCAACAAATAATAGGAATCAATGTTGTTTAATCTACCAGATGTTGTTTAATCTACTCAAATGACACAGAAGTGTCATTTGAATAATTGGAAGCTTTGTGTTCCTCCTGACAACAATGTGATTTTAAGCATGTTTATGTACAATATGTGGAATCAACTTGTTTCCTTTCTGAAGTGATTTATATTTTCTTACTGCAATTCCATGGATTACTTCTATGTAACAAAATCCCCAGAGTGTAAAAAAATTAAACTTAAGCACATTTTCAAAGGCATTCTCCTGTTTAGTCATCACTAAGAACAAAACGTTGGCTCTTTGTTACAGAGAAAATATCACAAATACCATATGCAATGAGGTTCCCAAAATGGTAGCTGGCGGGAGCAGAAAACATGTTTTCACTGATGCAAAGACCAAAATCTTAATTCAGATGGACAAATGAATTACCATTTTTATTAGCCGTAGCTAGTATGCACCATAAAGCATCTTTGTTCCCTACTTATTTATTTTTTGACATTCATACCTGCCTTTCCTTTCTGTTCCATTCTTTTTCTTGATGCTCACTCTTGATACTTTAGTTTTCAGAAATTCTTTCTGTAGTTCCATTTCACTTTACTTTCAGGTCAGCAGAGAACTCACTGCTGACCTGTTCTCAAATGACAACCATTTTGTTCTAGAAAACAACTGAAGAGCAGCAACCTAAAAAAAAACCAAAATAAATGAAGAGAAAGAGAGAGTTAACTTGCAGCTATTCCAGTCCTCTTTTGCACAGCAGCAGGCAATTTGAGAAATTTCTGGAAGAGCAGCTGGAAGAGCTGGGGCAGGGTGGAGCACTTTCAAAAAGAAAGTTGAAAAATTTTGCATACTATTTCAAAACAAAGTAAAAATTGTTAGTTTCACTTTACCATTGCAAAATAATTGTTTAGGATCTACACAGGCCAATCTGGCAAAGCTTACTGTTTAAAAATATTCCTAACTAGTAAAATCAAACAGTCAAACAGTTGTGGTCAATGGCTCAATGTCCAAGTGGCAATCTGTGACAAATGCCACTCCTCACAGCTGGTACTGGGACCAGCATTGTTTAACATCTTTGTCTGTGACATGGACAGTGGGATTGAGTGCATTCTCAGCAAGTTTGCTGATGACTCCAAGCTGAGAATTGCAGAGAATACTTTTATTTTTACATTGAATTCTCAGACTTGATTTCAGTTATTCCAGGTCTCTTCATCTACATCCACGTAGCAAGACATATTACCAAAGACAGATGTGAGAATATTGAGAACGGAAAACTTAATTTTACTTGAACTTTTATAAGATACATACATTTAATTTGCTAAGTAAAAGCTTTTCCAAAATACAGATATAGAAAATGTGAGTAATATAAACCAGTACAAAAATCTGAGAAAATCATCATGGGCTAATCCTACAAGTTTTTATTTATGACAATGAAAAATATTGCAATAGGACTGAACTATTTTGCAGTAGAAGGTGAGTAGGGGAAAAGTGTTAACTACATTTTGAACACTTCTGATTGCAGCAAGACACAAATTATGCTTACACAGTATTTCTATATGCAGCCATTTAATTTTGTACTTAGAAGTCTTTTATTCCCTTAAAAATGCATACAGAAAATACTACTGCACATATTAGCACAATAGTATCAAATAAATGTTTTATCCAGCACCAATAAAGGATAAGTACAGTGTGATCATCAAACTATAAAGGTCATCAATACCTATAATAAGAGATGAAGGCAGAAAACAGATACTACTTCCAATCTCTGGACTGCACACACAATCAATAATTAGCCTGGCTAAAATTTTTATTAGGAAGGATTTAGGCAACAAACTAAGCTATACAGTTTATCAAAATGAGCCCCAGAAAAAAAAAAAAAACAAAACCAAAAAACTATCTGACCATTTCTGCTTTTTTCCATCTAGAATTCAACCTTCAATTTTCCCTCCCAAGCCCTGCAACATCTTTACTCTATTCACTGAAACCATCTGTCTTGAAATATCTCCTGATGGGGAATGGACAGCATTAACACTGATCACCCACCCTGGGGATGAGCTTATTATGAGGTTATTAGTTGTAGTATTGATGTGACTTTCATAGATGACACGGTACCATTCTGTATGCTTTTCTACAGTAGGGTATGAAACATCGTATTTCAAGAGAGTTGCTGAATATGTTTGAAGACTTAGAACCTCTGTGAAGGAAAAAAACCACTTTTACATCTTTTCCAAGTTGTGCATTTTTATAGAGAGTGTTCAAAGATGTATGTATTTGATGTATACCATAAAGATGAATACTCACTCAGGCCATTCAGAGAAGCTGTCTGGAACCAGAGAAAGATGAATGAAGCATGAAAATAATTTAAGTGTAAATAAAAAGGAAATGAAACATTAAAAATATACATCCATTAGCAGCTTCCTGGGTTGGGTTTTTTTGTTACTGTTGTCTGTTGGAGTACAATCAACTATGATAAAAGTTAAAGTAATCTTTGAACAGACCAGCCCTTCCACACAGCGAAACAGGGATAATTATCCTTCTATTAGGAATGGTTATGTCTCATAACTTCCTTACTGCCAGGACAACCTGATCACTACAGAAAGAAGCAGAAATGAAGGGAAGAAAGGAAAAGCAGAAAGAAAACTGAGAAGCACAGAATTTTTTAAAAGCAAGGTGACCCGATGTACGTTCTAAATGTTTTCTCCCAGTCCCAAACTTTTTACATATTTATGTCCTGTATGAAGTAGAACTTTTTCTTCCTTTTAAGAAATAAAGTTCCAAACAAACAGGAATCAGGCCACCACCAATGCCCAGCTCCCCAGGAGTCCTTGCTTGCTTACAGACCTTGCTACAGGTCTGCTCTGTTCTCCACTACTCTTTTCTGTCCAGCTGTTGTGCCTCACTTTAGCTTTTGTGGGGTTAACTGTCCACCTCAGCAGCCCTGGCCTTCATTGCACTCTTTGCTTTGATTCTGGCCCTTGGATGAATCTTTCTTTACCAGCTGCAGTTCTCTCTCTTCTTAGAACCTCAGTGAGGACCTGTCCTTTGTTAGCAATCTGTGGGGTAATCCAGATACCTACTACTCCTTCTCAAATAAAGTTTTTAACTTATTTTTATGCTCTCACACAGAGACAATTCATTCAGACAAATGCTAGTTATTCCTATGCAATAACATTCAACTATACCTCTCTCTGCCCTTAATAACTATGTATTGTCCCTTCTGCATACTCAGGAAGACTCACTCATTCCCTGGCACAACCCTTTATACCTACACACCCAGGTTTACTCCACACATTGCCTTACGCATGCTGTTTCTCAGCATATTCCCCACCTTCACGCAATCACACCCTCTTCTTCCTCTAGTACTGTTCAGTTGTTAAAAGCACAAATATGCTACTCTCAAGGCTGGAGTTGCAGAGTTTTGTTAGATGTGAATGCTACCAAGTAAAAATGTGGAAGTTCAATGTGTTAAGAAGATACCTAGTGGCTGCAGAAAGAAAAGGTAAAGTGGAGCGTGCATTAGTGAGTGGTCTATGAAGTAGAATCATCCAATGGTTCACTTGAAGAGCCAAACATGAAAAAACATCCTGTTTGAGTTTATGTTATATCCATATTTAACAGGTGTTACACAGTATTCTTACAATGAAAAAACATTATCTAAGGAGTTGGATTCCCATCCAGCTTGTATCTTCAAGTGAAATGAGTTCAGGAGTTTGTTTCCTAGTTCATGTGAAAGAAAACTGAAAGATATGTCAGGCTTTTTTTTTTTTTTTTTTTAGGATGCATTGCAAATTTAGTTTGCAGCACGCTGGCTGTACAGTAGGGGAAGACTGCTGACCGTGCTGCAAATTTTGCTCTCAGCATAGTGAGTTGTCTTGATGTATGTCAAAATCTTACTTCTGTTGTCAGTTTATGTTGAACTTCAGCTGCTGAGTCATATCTTTCCATTCATTTTTCTCCTAAATATTTTTTTCATAAAGCATTACTCAAAAAAGAAAATACCTGAAGGGGCAGTTTCTTTATATCATTTTACATTTGAAGTTGTCTTTAGTATTTTAAGTCTATTCATTCAGAAATACAATGAGGTAACACACTGTGCGTCAAGTTAAAACTCCTAAGGTGGTAAATGCTAAATAGGTATAGACGTGAAAGATCTCTTCAAGTATGTGCCAAGAGAGCAATATTATAGTTCCACCTATAGAAGTGTACAGTCCCTAACATAAGCATGGATTTTACAATACCTTTAGAAATGAATCTACTGAAGCAGTTTCTCTGCCCGCATCAAAATCATTGTAACAGGGAAGTTGGCAAAATAACTAATCCTACCTTTAAATAAAGAATCATCTCTGAATAATGCATGCACATTATATTTAAAAACTCTTTAGGATGGGTAGTGACAGCATGGATTTTAAATTTGTGTAGCAAAGTACTTGTGCTACTTGTTGATTCTTTGTATTTTGGACGTTATTACATAAGAGGCCTGTACATTGAGTTCAGCTGAGGACAAACGGAGCGGCAGACATTACTTCATAGTTAAATGGGACTGCTCCGCTGTTGCTGAACCGGGGAAGCGTACAACTGGAGTCCACGTAATACAATTAGTATGCCATTTCGCAGTGTTCCAGAATGAAATGGCCTTATGATCTCTAATACTGCGGGTAATGCTTACAGATCAAACTCACAGCACTATTACCAAGCAGAATCCCAATTCTACAATCGGATCTTTTCAGGTCACTTCCACATATATGAGATTCCGAAAGACTTTAGCAAACCTTTGTGAAAGTCCATCTGGCAGCAGCCAAATATGAATGACAAAACTGATACGAGGGGGATAACGCTTACCAAAGGGAAAAAAAAAAAAAAAAAAAAAAAAAAAGAAAAAAAGATAAAAAGATAAAATGAAGCATTATCGGGAAAAATTGGAGAAAATCAGAAAAGAAAGGAGAGGTAAAGGCTAAAAAGCACACACTTAGCATTTATATTACAGAATTTTAATTCATGTGGTTAGTTTTCATTTATTTTACTGGACTCTGTTTGGTGCCACTTACGATGCATCTCTAGAAATTATCTGCACTTATGTCAACAATTTTGGTCCTACTATCAGGGGAAAACTAATACCCGATTGCAGAATCCAAGTATCCCATTGCAAAATCTGGTTCCAGCCACATTCCAAGGCAAGTATCTTGACTCTAATAGATGATTTCAAAAGACATGTCACCACTTTGAATAGTGACAAATTTGCAGTTGCAAATACAACTGATCTTTTAGCATTTACACAATCAGGATATGAATTGTGAAGCCTATGCCTTCTAACCAGCTAAACTTGATACATCCTCAGTAAAATTCTAAACCCTATTCCAAACTTTATTTGGCCCATGATATTCTCATTTCTTTTAAAACCTCAAAATGACAAGATCTGTAGTAAAGCACTGCCCTAGGTGAGTTGGTCTTGTAGGTTTCCTGCTAATTCTAGCAATCCATGGGATCCTTAGTCTCTAGTAAGAAGAAGGGAGGCATGATAACCAATGAACTGCAGAAATCAGGTCCATAATTGCCATTAGGAAAGAAAAAGAGGCTGTTTGTGACATGTTTCCAGTGATGCATTGCTGTTGTTAGAATTGTCTCTCTTATATACATACAAAGATGCTTTATCTATCTCAACTCTAAAAATAGTAAGGCTCAGGAGGTAATATAAAAAAAATCAAAAGACTCCTCATTCTTTTACAATTTTGGCCTGTTACGTCCTGTGAGAAATGTTAAAATTGGCTACAAAAGTGAAATAAAAAAATAAGGTGCTTTCTAAACTCTTATCCCAGAGTTGCACGCTAGTATATAATTTACATAAATGTAGCCTAAGGACCAAGATACACTATCTTTTAAGAAGTTTTACAGTTTTTCTCATCTATTCTTGCCCATAGTGAAAATATTAAGTGCTCGCTCAGAAGAATCAATTTTAATTTAATCAGAAATGTTACTCATTTATTTTTCATTTATCCCAGTAAGACCAATATTAAAATCTATATTAAATGGAAAATGAAGCTTTTAAAATCAAATTTTAGCACTGATAATATGCATAACTGTTGAAATTCGTTAAGTTCTATGATGTCATAATATAAGTCAACTAAGACTAAATGAACAGTTCTATGTAATTTGATCAGTGAGGTAAAGTTATAAAGCTTGCACAAGCACAGTGGAGGTTTGGAATTTGTTGCATTAATTATTTCATTTAATAAGACAATAGATTAAGTAATATAGCGAAGGTAAATTTAAAAAAAGCTGCCTTCAAATGGGTGAAGAGACAATTACAACACAAGCTGAAGAGACATAGTCTATCAATACTAGCAACAAACAGACCTGAAAAATCCTAAAATGATAACAAGACTTTCCTCTTCTTCCTGAGAAAGGCTTAATCACCAAAGTAGAGAACATTTTTTTCTGTGGAGGAGTCTGAGAGAGATGGATTTGTTCCCAAATTCAGGAAATAGCAAACTTTAATAAAACAATGGACAAACTAACTCTTACTGTGATTCAACTTTACAAGCAGTAAGAATGCAAAGTTATTAATTTACAGCATACTTAAACACCACTCCCATCAATAGTTTAACAGTTGTCATCAAGAAAATAGTAAAACCAGAGCCTCATTACGTTGAAAGACGTGAAACTGTTAACACACATCTCAATAAAGCGTCACACTTGAGAATCAAACACCCCCAGCCTTTGATTTGTAACTGTGCACATTTGTTGTCTCTTAGGTCATTGTTCAGTAACCATTTACTCAGCTTCTATTGGGAAAGAGCAGTAATTATGATAATGTAGTAACTAACACCTGATTTACTAACTTTGGGAGGAACTCCAGGAGGAAAACTTGGGTTTATTCTGCTTTTTTTTTTTTATCTTCCTAATATTTGGGAGAGATGTTTTAGATTGCTATTAAGAAAAACTATAGCGCTGGTGAATGCATTCTCAAGACACTACCTGCATCCATATACTGGACTCCCGACATAATTTGAGGGGAAAAAACCAAATCTTTAAAAAATTATAAACGAAGTTTCAACAGATAGTTATCAAAACACGCAATTTAAGTAATTTAAATACAAATAATAATGGATTGTGTCATAAAGAAAAACACTCACTCAGAGAACTGGTCAGAGAAACAACTAGAAATTTCCCTTCTTGGCTGTTCCTAATTCAGAGCTTAATGGGTCTCAGTGCTTCAACCATCTGTCCATTCTGACGATCTTTTTCAAGTACAAATTTTATTCTCAGAGGACCTGAAAAGTTTTCCAGAGACAGTTTGTCAAAATAGATAGATACAATTCCTCAGTACAACTTTCTTTTCTAGGGAAAAAAATAAAACAACTTGAAAGAGTCCTAGCTAGCTCTAATAACGTATTTTTGTTTGACTCCATTCTCTATCTCAATGCTATTTTACTGTAACCGTACACAGAAAACATACTCCACCTGCTCAGAAGCTGAGCAACAGAACCCTAAGCATATGGAAATCACTAGGCTAAAATACAGAGCCATTTTCACCATAGTGATTTCCTACTGCTATCAACACGTAAGTTACATGCAGACGTTCTGCTTGCCCACAATTCTCTATGTGCAAAACTGAAACAGGCACACAGCTGTGCCTTTCACCCCAGCAGAGCCCTTATGCACAGCTTAAAATGCTACCTTCTGCTGGCCCTCTTACCACTAGGAGGTTCAACTGTTAAATTGTAAACAGCTCTGATGCATATACCTAGAAACAGTAGCTAGACCACAGCCTGAAACAAAAGCACTGAAATAAAGGTGATAATACCAGGCCCCATCGTAATTTGGCTCCAAAGCTGGTAACACATTCAGTCATCATATGCCCTCTTTAAAAACGGAGCAATGATCAGCTTGCATGTCTAGGTGTTCTCAAGTAGCCCATGAAGATGATAATGACTAACTATGATTAAAAATTGGTGGGGTACCTATTATGAGTCTGTTCCACCCATATTGACCTATAGATCTGATCTCTTTTTAAAGGTTGCTTCATATAAGGAAGGTTAAACCTGACTAAACACATCAGGGTCAAAAGCCAACATTTTGGAATGAAGCCTTCAGATGAAAACAGCGGAGAGGAACATTCAGGGCTTTTTATTGCTTTCTCTGCCACCACACCTTTGAAGTAATCACTTTTTCCAGTAATTTGGTTGAAGCCTGCAACAGTCAAAATAATGTTCAGATATTCAAGAAATTGCTATGCTCTGCTACCAAGATTTAACTTTGAAATTCAACCAGACATAAGAGTAAAATTAAATCACTGTTTACTTCTCACATGGAATTACCTCCAGTAATTATCTCAAGTATTTCTTGAACTCACAGCTACACAGAATAGCTTCTGCTCCTATTTAGCCCGGTTCCTAAGAAAGCATAGTTTGGCCAAGCCTCTGGTTTTTTTCTGCCACAAATTTCTATGTTTTTCTACAAAATAAAAAAAAAAAAAAGAAAGAAGATGTACATTATCAGACAAGCTCTTCCACTGGATTTAAATCTTGTCATATCAGAAATAGGCTTAAATAGTCAGTAACCTAGCTACACAAACATACTGAAATAAACATAATAAATAAATGACCTGCTGTTAGACTTGAGTGCCAAGTCTAGCCAAGCAGACTTCCGTTAGATTGGGAAAGAAGATTGCTTAAATGGCCATCTATGCTTCCATTTTTGATGCATCTGTTAATAATACAACGCAACTACCATTTTATTATTAACCTGGCTTCTGAGAGATAGGCTCTGCCAGAAAAAACTGCATGGTTTTGACGTAATTCCGCTACCAACTCTTTACCTCACCCCATTGCTGGAAAACACAGTAGATTTAGCCAAAGAGAACATGTGCCCATCTCTTGGCAACCAAGTTCACTGTCCCATTTCCTCTGTACCTTAAAATAGGACTCTGGGGCAGCTGATATTGGGTACAGGCTTCCTGCTGCTGCTATGGGGGTTATAGCTTCTTAACCACAGGTAGACTTCCAAAACAATTCAGGTATTTTCTCAGCTTGGAGTCTGTGCTTCTTTCCCGAGAAACTCAACTCCTCAAAACCTAGATATATTTCACCCTATTTTATTCAGGAAACTGAGCGAGAACCAATGAAGAGCCTACTCATACTATTACAGTCCTCATGTAGCCACACTTATAATTTTAAATGTTTTCAGGTAAAATGGGATTTCACTGTAATCACTGGAAGGCATTACTTTATCACTGAACAAGCCTAGTAACTCATATAGTCTCTCCAAACTACATCCACTTACACCAAAAAATAGTCTACCCCAGAATTAAATCAAAACTTGAATAAAAGAGTATTATGGCAATGAATTCATAACTAAGCAGGAGAAAATACCAAGGACCCAACTGTGAAGAGCATTGTTCACGGGAAGAATATTTATGGCCATAAAGCTAAACAATAGGACATCCCATAACAACGCCCTAGAAGTTAAAGAGCTTAAATCTAAATTTAAGATTATATAATCTCACAGAGAATCCAAAATACACAGCAATGATCTTAATTCATACTTACTTATTTCATGAAGTCTGGCCAAATCCTTGGGGTTTTATGTTGTCTCTATGATAAAGATAAAGCAATTTTACATCAGTTTAAAGCAAATATTTTTCAGGCACTTTTACTGAAATTGAGTATCATAAATCTATCTTTATTGTAGAACCCCAACAAAATATGCTAAACAGTTCTGTAAAATACTACTATATAAAAGCTGCTTTATGCAGCAGCATGATTTAGAAATAAATAACTGTTCCATTTTTTAAAGTTCTCTCTGTTCAGTGTTTACCAGAAGAGAGCGTGTGTATGCTTTGGCAAGCTTTTTGCATATTTTTTGGCACTTAAAAGAATTTTAAGACTAATGTTGGCATTTTCATAACTGCTAAATCATTAGAAAGATGACATTTAAAGATTGCAGGGAAGCTAACTTGGCACTGTTTGCATTTGCTTCCTTATAGCTAACCACAGAGTAGTAAAAAATCTCAGAAGATTAGCTGCTCCCTCCTATTGTATCTTGGGGGGGGGGTAAATCCCCTTAAAAAAGGAACTGACCTGGTGAATATCTACCCTTTCCATGTACCAAACCTTCTTATATTTAAATGTGTTTAAGATTTTCATTTCTAGGTTTGGGAAAGATGCTAACCAGTTTGGTTGTCAGGTTAACCTTGCCAACCGTGGCGCTACAGTCAGGGTAAGTTCTGCTGAAAGGATGACCGGGCATTGGGCTGTGGGTGGCCTTCCACCGGGCACAATGCAGCTGAACCAGGATTTACTGCTCCAAAAGCCCACACAATGCAGCACTGGAGGGATGTATTCTCAGTACACCGTTCCCTCCTGAACTTCTCGATTTTTGTGCTGGTTTAACTGTTGAATACAAAAGAAATTTTATACCCGTGACAAAACAAATTATCATCCGGAATGACGATAACAAGAGACTTTATTTTTCCCTAATATAAAGCAACTAATTTGTTGTGCTATTTGCAAAGGTGAGGAAAACAAAAAAGATCTAAGTACCTATTTCTCTTCAGAACAAATGTTATGTAGAGGACTGAAAGTACCTCCAAAGCAAGCATTTCATTTTTATTAACCATAATAAACTAAGAGTGGAAAAGAAAGTTACATAAAACTTGCCAGAACATAGTTATTGAACACTGCAGTTTCTAATCTCAGCAATAAATGTAAGTCAAGGAAACTGGAAAATCTAATTACTCTGTAAATTTTTAAACCTGTTTCTTTCTTCTCAAGGAAAAGGAAATTGTTCCCTTGCATTTAAGCAGACTTCACTCAAACTGTAACTACAGCTAGGTGGAAAGTTATTTTTGTCTGAACGTAAAGGTTTTTGAACTTCCTTTAAAGTGTCTTTGCATCCTGCATTGTTTACTCAGCTCTGGTTCAGACTCGTACTCAAGGTATCATCAGTTACTTCACAATTAGTATTGCTGTAGTGCAAAATCCAGAGACACTCTTCATAAAACCAAAAAAATCCACCTCAGAATAAATCAGAACTTTGGTGCCATATTGTAGCAGTTCCTTTCAGTAATACATCCCATGCAATCATAATTTGATAGCCAGTATTCACACACTGCATTAACAAAATCTGAAGCAATACATCATTACAGAACTACTGTGAACGTGAATATGGGATAGCATTGTAAATGTTAATTACCTACTCATAGAGGATTGTTTCACATATAGTTGTTGCTGACTTCTGTGTATAAACAGACCATGTAACTTAGACCTACAAGATCAAAAACTTTAAAAAAAAAAAAATAATTTTGAAGATTCAAGCCTCTTGATGAGTTCTAAAAAACAAGGACTATTTAAGTATCACATCTGCAAGCAAAAACTTTCAGGCATTCCTAGCACAATGAATCTCAAGCCTTCTTAAAAAACCAAACCAAAACACAACAACAAAAACCCACAAACCACCTCTCAAAACAAACCTCCTCAAGGTCAAAGTCAAAAAAACAAAACATGCCTTGCACTTCACATTGTAGGATTCATCTGTCATTATTTTTTTAATATTTGTCCATATTCACAAAGTCGAGTTTCTTCTAGTTTGTAAAATAAAAGCTCAATTACATATAGGAGGCAACAGCTGGGGCTTTCATGAAAACAAAGAGAGCCCCAACATATTTACAAATTGTAGGAACCATTACTGCGTTTGAGGAGACGTGGACTACAAAACGTAAATACTGACTGGCTCGATTCGCGGAGCTCTCTCTTCCGGCTCTTACCTCTGTGATACGTGACAGAGAAACCATCGAGTTTCACAAGAGAGATAGGATTTCTGTGTTGTGTTCTGATTTGGCAGTCAAATGTTTTGTTTGGTTTTTGGGGGTGGGAGGGGTGAGTTGTACAGAAGTGGAAAACCTGGCCTAAGCTCATCTGATCTTTGGACGTTGTTCTCGTTAAGTATAAATCCTACTTTTGAACTTCCTCCAATTGCGTGAGAGGTGAAGCCTCCCAAACAAAAAAAAAAACACCACATGGGAATAGCCATACCGAAGATTTAAAATGTTTGTCTTAAAAGGTAAACCCTGAAACAGTAGCTCAAGCAACACTTCAAAGCAAAATGAGAGATCTACCATAATGGTCTATTATAAAAAGCAGACCAATGGCAAGACTTTTTTTGCTGTATGCTTTACATGAATGCACATCTATGCTGTGATTTACCTTTAAATCTACACAAGAATAAAGCAAAGGTGACAAGGTCAAACACATAAAATCTAAGAAATGTTACTGCAATGACTAGGTGTACAAACTTAATTTGTAGCCCTTGAGTTTCATTACCACACTCCCTTTTTTTATCATGGACAAGTTTATGAATACAAGTATCAAAATCCTATTTATTCCTCAGCATTCTCAAATGTTTCAGATCCCAACCCTTTAAATTTTGAACTAAAAATTTCAGATACTAAGCGGGGATTGGTCCTTCCCTCACAAAAAGGAATTCATTCTGACTAGGGATGTATTAAATAACTACTAAAATTGCATGTAGCCTGAGGCCTGACTGGTGAGAGGCAGTAATTAACAAGACCTGGATCTGCAGTGAATATGGAGAAAAAGAAGAAACCTAATCTGCCAGTCCATTTGCTAAGTGACAAAAGTGGCAGGGCCCTTCTTAACAAAATATGCTCATACATGTAATCAGCATGTAAAAGCAAATTAAACTTTAGGTGTTTCTTAATCTTCGGGTGTTTGGCCTTACAGCTTATTATAACTTTAACAAAATAATATCATTCAATACAATTGTGCTTTCCCTCCTTTAGCTTCCATGGTTTTCAAGTGTGATATTGCACTGACTCACTGCACTCAGTTCACGCTCTGAAGGGAGAGAAGGTCCAAATTTCACTAAGAACAAGAGTAACCAGTGATGATGAACCAATCTCCTTTCAATGCATGCCACAAGAGGCACATGCAGAGTCTGACTTGTTACAGATCAACAAAGTCACTTAAAAAAAATATCTCAGGCTGAAAAAATAAACGTTCTGCAACAAGAAGAAATAAGTAGGATAGATGTTAAAAACACATTGGTCTACTTCTAGAGCACAAAGGAACCCACTGAAAATCAGCAAGATTCAGATGAATGAGGAAGTTTATGCAACAGTTTGGATGGGTCATTTCTACAAGTGCAAGTATGTAAGGGCACACTATCTTTCACCTGCCAATACAGCTAAGCAACCTTTCATGCACAAGCAGTAAGTGCTTTGATGGCTACATGCTATCAACAGCAATTGAGGGGCATTGAAAAGAGTAGCAATTCCTTGTTCTGCTTTTGGGTTGGGTTTTGTGGGACTTTTTTCTACGGCAATAAAAACACCAGGGCTTTCACCCTACCAGATCATAATAAAAGTGTGTGGATAGCAGAGCATTTTCTGGCCTGTCAT